TTCATTTACTAACCTACTCCTTCCATTCTAAATTCTTTTATATGTAGTTCTTTGGCAACAACAATAATAATAATGTCACAATATCAAACAAGTAGGGGACTTACACTCCTTTTGTTTTATCCTTTTTATTTTAAATAAAATAATTATAGACTTTTATATTGATAAATTATATCATAAAAGATAAAATATAATTTCAGTCTATAAGAGAAAAGAAATAGGTGAAAGTGCAATTAGCAACATGTATGGGGATCCAGAAACGATGGATCCCAAGCACCAAAAAGTTGGCATATCTCACAAAAATATAGTAGACCAACTTCTCAAAAGGTGTTGAGAGGATCCCTTTCATCTCCCAAAAACTTACCTTTATCATAATTAATATCGTAATACTCCCTCCGGTCCTAAATAAGTAAATTTTTGGCCTTTTCTTTTATGGTCCAAAATAAATGATTTTTTTTTAAAATTTTAATAATGAATTAATTATTTTTTTCCTACATTGTCCTTGGAGTAAATAGTATTGGACTATGTGTTAGGAGTATTTATGTAAAGAGATAATAAAGGTTATGATCAATTTCATTGCCAATTAATGTTAAAAGGTGGATTTCTTAATTGTGAAAATGGCTAAAAAATCACTTAGTTTGGACCGGAGGGAGTAATGGAATATTACCCTACACAGAATTATGATTTGTTGAGGTTGGTGATTAAGATGTAATGATTTTATTATTGTGTGTAATTCTGCACTCTAAATGATGACAGATAATATAATAATTAATTGATTTTTGGTAAGGATTTGGTCATGATTAATTAGAAATATGTGTTGATGCTTGACACTTGTAGATTTAATTTAAACAATCATCACCTTTGTAAAATAATAAGTACCCTTATATATTTCATTAATCTAATCAATTTACCTACTTTCAATCAAAAGTCAACAAGGATATCTTCAATCATCATTTTAATTTAGGATCAATATCTTCAATCATCATTTTAATTTAGGATCATCTCACGAAAATAATTGAGATTATAAGCTAGTAGTTGATCGGGTTAAAAATTAACTAATTTGTTGTTTATGCATTTGTTCTGGGACAATATTCACTTTGTCACCTAAATTAAACGTGAAAGTGGACCATTTTTCTTTTTTTGTGGTACTAAAATTCAAGATTGATGCTATTGAAATTGAAAGCTGGAATTATTCAAAATATTTTAAAGCTAAAAATGAAATAATTACATGCTGTCATATTTTTCAATTTTCGATTGCTCAAATAATAGCTTATTAATTTCATTGTCATCTCATTTTAAAAACAACTAAGTAAATAATTTCCTGAAAATATAAAGAGTAGAAATGTAATTTAGATGGAGATAATGCATAACTCATTGACTCTCTCTCTCTCTCTCGGAAAACAGAAAATGTCTGCTTTTATATTGATCAACCCAAAATACTTGGGTTAAAAAAAAATCCAAAAATACTGTTTTTACTTTTGCCTAAAGGGACATTTTCTACTCTTATATTTGTTACTCCATTTCTTTGAGAATTGTGCTTCAAAATTCGAATCATGTATATACTTTTGAATCCGTTTCACATATTCTTCATATAAAATTAAATATATTAAGCTGATTTAATGTTAAATAATGTTATTGAAATTTTGATACATTTTTTAGATATAATTGTGATTGTTACGTTATTGTGTAACCTTTAAATATTTCAATTTTATTTTAAAATTGAATCACTCAAGTCAGGTTGAAATCCCATCATTATATTTGAGATGGAAGGATGATAAATTAAAATAAGGTGAAACTAAGAAAATCAATAATAATCCCAGAGATTGAAGATAATTAAATTATATCGCCGTATAAATTAGGTAAAAGGGCAAAAAAGAAAAGGTCAAAGCAGAGACAGGGGCAAGAATGGTAAATAGCAGGAAGAGAAAGGGGAAAAGTAAAGAAGGATGTGGGGTCATGGTCATCGGTGCGTGGAGGGAAAGCAACCGAAAGTTGAGGGTAAAGTGGCAGACAAAACAAAACTAACCAAACAAAAACAAAAGAGAAAAACGGAAAATAGAAAGAAAAAGAAAAGAGAATAAAAAGGGAAGTGAACAAAGAGAGAGAAAATAGAAGAGTGTCACAATCACTGACTGAAAAATCAAAAACCTATTTACAATCATGTCAGTGTTGTTTAGTACATTATCTTTAATGAAGTAAAAATATTTAATATATGACAATTTTTTTAAAATTAGATATGGAGTAAGAATATTAATTTGACTTCACACCAAAGTAAAAATCTCAAAAGAATGATTGAAAATTATTCTACTAGAGACATACTTGTTTGTCTTTCAAATGGTGATATTAGGATTTTAAAATCGACTTTCAGATTAAAAAAACTCTACATAATTATTGTTTGCTGAAAATATCATATAAAAGTATACAAGATGAAATAAAGAGTTGGAAAATAAAGTAGCCAGAGATTGAACTTGATGAACCAAAATAACATTAAAAAAAATAAACACATAGCGCATGCCCTACATGCATGTATGCACTATATGTAATTTTATTTCTTGTTTATTTCTATATTTTTTTGTTTCATCAAGTCTAATTTTATGCTACTTTAATTTCTGACTCTTGAAAAAAAATTACATTCTTAAAAGTTGCATAAAGTAATTTCTAATAAGTTGTAGAATATCAAATAATTTTGTAATACAATCTGATATATTATCTCTATTTCAATTTAAAATTTAAAATTTAATTTGAGAAGTACTTCAAATTTAAAAGTTCACCTTTTATTCAAAAACAATATAACTTTCAAATATTTTTTCCATTTTCAATTTTGTTTCAAATTTCAGTTACATATTGTCTCATTCGGTGACACAGTTCATGGACGGACTAAATTGTCAAGTATTTTAAAAATAAATTTCAACTTTATTTGTCTCTTTTTGCATATAAAAATAAAATAATTGTTTGTCTTATTTTTCCCTTTAACATTAATTATCAATTACAAGTCATTTTTCAAATCTAATAATACTATATACAACTTATAGCCCGTTTGACTAAGCTTTTAAAATCAGTTTATTTTGAGAAGTGTTTTTCTCAAAAGTACTTTTTAAAAAAGTGCTTTCGGCGAAAAGCAGTTTGTGTTTGGCTAATTAATCTGAAAAGCACTTTTGAGCAGTAATTAGTGTTATGGCCAAGCTTTTGAAAACTGCTTCTAAGTGTATTTTTCTCAAAAGTGCTTCTCAGAAAAGTGCTTTTGGAGAGAAACTACTTATTTCTGGTTCTCCAAAACTGCTTCTGCTTCTCCTCAAAAGCACTTTTTTTTCTTCCAAAAGCTTGGCCAAACACCTCAATAAAGCACTTTTGGCCCAAAAAAAAGCTTGGCCAAACAGGCTATTAATATAGGTATCATGGTAAATTATATATTTTATTTATTATTCTTAAGGGATGTGCAAAGTCAACACTGCACAAATAAAAGTGAACAGAGTAGTAATTTAGTGGGTGTTTGGATATAAGAATTGTAAAATTCCAAAAAAAAGTGAAGTTTATTTTCAAATGAAAATGATATTTGAAAATTAGAGTTTTGTTTGGACATGAATATAATTTTTGATTGTTTTTAAAGTTTTATGAGTGATTTGGGTAAATTTTTTTAAAAAATAACCATTTGGAGTTTTAAATTTTCAAAAAATTCTAAAATTTATGTTTAATTAAAAATTAAAAATTATATGATCGAACACTGATTTTTTACGTCCAGACGGCTCTTAAAGTTTCGCCGAGTTCACATTGAAGTCAGTGCTAGTGGTCCATTATCTTTACCTAAAATTCCAAATTTGCCCTTCAAATATTTACTTTTCAATCCTCATCGGGTGTCAGCAGCTTAAGTCCACGTGTCCTCTAATAACAACAACTCCTCCATTTTTTCTCTTTCTTCCGCTGCACAGTAAGTAGTTAAAGAAGAAGAGAATAGAAGAGCCCAGGATTCTGTATCAGAGTCATCACAATCAATATCCGAAGAATCTCTTTCAACTGAGAGAATTAAGAAAAAGCGATTTTAGAGGAGTGGATTAGTAGTGATGATAAGGTCTGTTTGGTTGTGAGTATTATTATAATTCTATTTATTCTTTTTTGGGTGGGGATTAATGAATAGGGGAGGAATAGGAATAGGAGGGCCAATGCGGAGGTCGTTTAAGGATTCTCTCAAAGTTCTTGAAGCTGATATTCAGCATGCTAATACTCTGTAAGTCCTACTTCCTTTTTAAAAAAAACCATCTTTTTTTCGTTCTTCTTTTCTTGCTCTGTTTATCCATTTTTGTTGTTGTTTTCTATATAATTTACTGCCATATCCATAAAACCTTTTTGTTGACTATAGAACTTTTATGGTTCCACACCATTTTCAAGTCTACTTTTATTTTTCCCCTTTCTTTTGATATTTCGGTTCTGAAGTGGTTTTTTCCTGTTTTTGCTGTCATATTTTGTTCAGAACGAAAATTTTCTGATATGAGTTTTTGTTCCTTGTTAAAAAATTTGAAGCTTCAAAATTCTCTCTGATTTTTCTGCTTTTTGATTTTTTATTTCTGACATTAGTTGATTTTTCCCCTTTTTTTGCTTCCTATTGTTCTTTAGTTCTGGGGTTAGATTTGCGAAGATGTTGTGGCAGTAATGACATGTGTTTGCCCTTTTTTCCTTTTTTTTTTTTTTTAAGTTATAAAATTGTGTTTAGAAGTATGGCGCATTTGATTAAGGTATGGTTGTTATCAGTCTTTGTTTGGAGTTCACTTCTTTGATTGCTTCAAACAGAGATAAAGGTATCATTTTTAATGCTAATCTGATGCTTAGCTTGTAAAAGCCTCTAAACTCTATTATATTATTCTGATTATGTAGCCTTTGTTTATGATTCCAAGGCCTACCTTCATCTTAACCTTATCCATTATGGTACCTGCTGCAAGGGAATTCTGCTGGTTTTTTTTTTGGGTGGGGGTGGGGGTGGGGTGGGGTTATGGGGCCTGGAGTTGCATATTTGTGTAGAGTTTAGTTAATTAGTTTTATACACTGACAATGTAAAGATTTCTATACTATCATGTCATGTAAAAGCGTATAGGTAACCGTAATACAGCAGGTTATCAAATACAATACCTTAAAATACGGTGATAGTGTAAAGAGTTTAATAAGTTAAATCCATTTGTGTGAAGTTGTTTCTGTCGTTGAAAATTAAATTGTTGCAATGTGGTTACATAGCTAAACAGTGGCAGAAGGAAGTAAATTGTTGCATTCTTCCTCATTTCAATTGTTCCATTTTCTTTTTCTCCCACCCTTTCCTTTATTTAGTGGGTTTTGTAAATCGGTTACGTTGGTTTGATGACTTTCCTTTGTTATATATGGTGAACTTGTTTGTCTGCACCTGGTAATTCAGTGTTTATTTGGTCCTTCTTGGTTTTGTCATTTAGAATCTGATTATTGGAATTTGGGGTGCAGTGCATCTGACTTTTCCAGAGAGTACGATGGAGCTTGCCTACAAATGCGAATGTCCTACAGTCCAGCTGCGCACCTCTTTCTTTTCTTAGTGCAATGGACCGATTGCCACCTAGCTGGTGCCCTTGGATTGTTGAGAATTCTAATTTACAAGGTCTGCATTTTCCTGTTCATGCATTGCTAAACCCCTCTATTACAAGCTGTTTTTGTGTGGAATAACTGTGGCATTGGATCACTCTCTTGTTCCTTGCTCTAGGTTTATGTTGACGGCACCACAACCATGTCAACTCATGAAAGGAAGGCAAGCATTAGGGAGTTCTATGGTGAGTTTCTACATTTTCCTTCATTTGATACAATCACGTAAACTCTTAAGATAAATCAGCTGTGCTGGATAATGGTTGCGAATAATCAATAATCTTGTGCAGCTGTTATTTATCCCTCCTTACTTCAACTTGAAAGAGGTGTTACGGATTCAGAAGACAAAAAGCAAAAAGCAGTATGCTCGGAGAGATACAGGAGAAGAGATGATGACGATTACAGACAATCTTCTGACTCGGACATTGAAAGGGAAGATGAATGTGGAATCTGCATGGAAATGAACAGCAAAATTGTCCTTCCCAAATGCAATCACGCCCTGTGCTTGAAATGCTATCATGAATGGTATGTTACATGTGCAGTTTGTGTGAGTTAGAATCTTCCTGTTAAGTTTAAATAATATATTTTATAGTCAGTTCTCGAGTATGGAGCGGCTGGTAAATTTGTGCTACTTTCTAAGAACATTAATCTTCCATCCTATGCCACCCCACAGTTGAAGTTAAAAAATTCCATCAGGGAAAGGAAGACATTGTCACTGATGGAGAAATTAGATAGTCATAAGAAATTTGAGTATCTCTGCATAGGAGAAAACTATTACAGGTGTACTCACCCCCCCCCCCCCCCCCAACCGCGATATGTATATATAAATGCTTATATAACAGCCACCAAGTGCTTCTTGGTGCGAAAGTCCTGTGGGTGGTCCCGCTTTTTGGTAGTCTAGGGCTCTAGACGGCTAAGGCAGGTGCAATTTAATAGCTAGGTCTAGGTTGTTAAAGGGTTAGGTCAGGATTTATATTTTGTTTGCTTGGTAGCCACAGAATTTTAGGATATGAAAGTCTTCTTTTTCAAGCTGATTCTTTTGTACCTCAATTTTTGAAATACGGTATAGAGATGACATGCTTGGGCAATTTTGTGCTTCAGGCATGGTAGCAGTTTTCCTTCTGTGCGTAACGGCATAGTTGGGCATGAACATGGTAAAAGAGGACTACTTGAAGTGATATAGCCTTAAGATTAGGCTGGTCTACTTTGTGTGCTTATACACTGCTCTTTATTATTATCGTTTTTTATCACGTGGTGCCTGTGTTAAAAAGTGCTCTATCCTAAATTTTTACTGTCATTCAGTTTATTGAGTGAGAGTATTGTCAGTTTTGGGCTCTGCATCAAACTAGAGGTCATCTTCTTAACTATCTGTTTATGAGAAACATCTTGTTTCCTCTGTATGTTCCAATGTTGCAGTCAGAGTGGTTATGATTTTCCTGCTAACCGGTAACTCTGCGTTGTCTAAGAAGCTGGATTACTGCAATACTGAGTTTTAGTGTCTTATTTTGGACATAATGTTCCGAGCTATTTTACGACCCCGCACCCTGGGGCAGGGAGAATGTTACCTAATAAATTGGACCAAATGAAATATTGATGAATTAAAATGAAAAGAGGCAGACCTTCTAGTCTGGGGTTCTAACTGAATATAATTTCAGTGCCCCTTGTTAAGGAATGGAACAATTTTTTTGCCTTTGTTTTTGGATCTAAGTTCGCTTGCTTGCTGGTGACAAATTTTTTACAATGTCGAAATCCTGCAGTGACCTAGATATGCTGCTATTCCGCAGACTCCAAGGGGCTAATTTGCAAGAGTGCACACACATGTTGCTCCTGGAACTAGTTTCCTAGTCCTTGTAAATATGTTTCTTCCCACTTAATGAATGTTTAGAATTGTCAATGATAATTTGTAAAGATATCTCTAGAGTCTTAGGTTGTTGTCGTTTCATGCGGAACTGTTTCTCAGGAAAAGTGAGATAACAGGTTTCCCTGGTCCTGTAAGTATTAGAGGAGGCATAAAGTTTTTGCTGGATATAAGTTGCTCCACCATTCACTTATCTCGGAGTGGAGTAAATACGGTCCTGCTATATCATATTTTCTCTCTGCATTTCTGAAACCATGTCCTTCCATGTTCTCTTCTCACCCCCCCCCCCCCCCCCCCCTCTTTCTCCCCCTTCCTCTTTCTCTCTATTTGTCGAGAGTGGAGGAAACTTTTTCCATTCCTTCATTCTCAACCTGGATGATCTATTCTTAAGTGCTCACCTCTTAGTCTAAGTAGTATTGCCTTCCCAATGGGATTTTCCCATCCGATATTTTCCTTTTAAGTGGAGTTCGCATTTCAATCGGCCGGGTGCCTTTGAATATTCTTATTAATCTAGGAAAACCATTATCTCCTATGTTCTATTTTATGTGACACACTTTCCTTTTTAGTTTTTGGAACACTTTTGTATATTTAGAAACAATTCAATTTTAAACTTCCTATTTATATCTTTACTGACATGATTTTAAAGGCTCGGAAATGTCATGGAATGTTTAAATTCACAAGTTCACAAGTTTCAAAAGTCTTTTTCTCTTTTTAAACTTCTGTGTCCAGTAAAATAAATACCTTAACATGAAATGAAACAGGAGTACTATATACTGGCTGCTTCAACTAGGAATTTGTACTTTATTACTCTACAAAAAATGTACATTCAGCATTATATCTCCCTTCTATAGTGCTAGTATTGCTTGTCCAGTTACTTACGAATGATCTAATACAACACATTGCAGGCGTTCAAGGTCACAGTCATGCCCCTTCTGCCGCGATAGCCTTAAAAGGGTAAACTCCGGGGACCTGTGGGTATACATGGATAACAAAGACGTCGTGGACATGACAACGATAACAAGGGAGAACCTTAGAAGGCTATTCATGTATATAGAGAAGTTACCTTTGATCGTGCCGGATAATGTTTTTGACCACTATGATACTCATATAAGGTAGAGGAGCAATGCCCTAAGGACCAAGAAATTGGTTGCACTAGATTTAGAAATGCAGGTGGACTACTTTCCACCTTCTGAATTCGTAGAAGCCGACCGCATCAGTGTGGTGCAGGGGTTGAAGCTAAGTTAGATTAGCTTGAAAAAAAGGAGCTTTTTAATTGCATCTCCTAATTTGTACATTCTTGTACAGTTCCAGTTTACTTGTTGGAAGCACAGTACCCTTTTGTTGTTTGTTTCTAATCTTCAACTGTCATCAACACCAGCATTTGTTGTGGTTGAATTCTATTTTGCATTCGAAATATATAATATAGGATGTATTTAATTGCCAATTTATAATTTTTCCTTTTCTTGCAAGCATTTTGAAGGATATAGCTGTTACGTTTAACCCAAGGACAAGAGATGGCTCAGAAAATTAGAAAATATATTGGAACCAAATCAAGTAAGTTCGTTTTTTCAAATATTGGAACTAAATCAAACTAATTAAGTCGGGTTTTTATCGATTCAGTGTATGTTGGTTTTTGTCAGTTTTTTCAGTTATTTATAGATTTTTCCTTAAATATGAGATATATACTATCAAACACATATTCCGGCGAATACCTTTTCAGCATAACACTATCAAATCAATTGCTATTTGAGAAATCTATCATTTATCAAGATATATTGATGATAATTGAATCAAATAGTGATGAACAATTTGAGGACTCAACTAAAAATAAATTATTTTAATGTGAAATAAATTCTTGTACTTGGCAAAAGAAAACTACCAATCAAACAAGAATGAAATTTCACTCTTACTTATCAAAAAGAGTTTGGGCGAAATTGACATGAACTAACAAAGCTATTTTACATATATCTGTAATCCAATTGCTAGATAAGGGTGGCTCAAGGGGAGGCTAATAAAGCCTTTGCTCCTCAAAAATATTTTTAATTGTAGATTTACTATCTTATTTTCGCATAGATAATATTAAAGTTTATAGAAAAAAGAAGCAAAAAATACAAAATCCTTGTAAAAATGGAAAGAAAGACTATCTATTTTTTAACAATAAAAATATTTAGAACTTTGAATTAAAATACTCAATCTTCATATTGTTAAATAATTTTTTTTGCAATAAAATCCAAGGAAACGAATTATAAAAAGTGGCTAATATCTTATTAACTTGAATGTTCTTACCAATGTGAATATTAATATTATATTTTATAAGATAACACACTATAGATAAAAAGAAAGAAAGAAAAATAGAAACCAATATAATATTAATACTATATTTTACAAAATAACTATACTATAGACATTTAAGGTCCTTTGTTAAAATTTGGCTTTATGCCAGAGTATTATTAACATACATCTGTGGCTCGGCGCAAACAATGCCAACGATAAATGAAATAGGACCACAAATATCTTAAAACACCATTACTTGCCTATAGAAAAGAGTAATATCTGTTTTAACTTAATAAGAAATCATGCTTATTTTAGCATATTTATGTAGCGACCCACTAGCCAAAAATCACCTAAATCCTTTTTTTCTCCAGTAAACAATGTCTCTCATATCTATGCTCCAACTTTTTGCAGCTTAATTAGAATTTTTTGAAGAAAGAGTCAATTTTTAACCAACTCCATATATTTAAAATACTTTGATCTCTTCAGCACCTCTAACATAAGTTACATATTTAACAGCTTGTTTGGATGATTGTTACCCATTGTATTGTATCGTATTATTACTTTAAATACCATGTTTGTTTTGATTGTTACTTAAATTTTATTGTATCGTATCGTTAAATTCGTCACGTAACAATGAAATGTGCCACTTTATGTAACGACCGATTTGGTATGGTCGCGTCGTTACCTTGTCTTTTTCTCCAATCTCACCTTTCAATATTATTAAATAATTTTATTTTATCATTTACCCTACCTTTTTATATACCGTTTCATAATTTTTCTTTATAATATTGCAAGTTTATTCATCATATTACTGGTGTGTGATATCATAAAACGACAGCAAAACGACACAATTCGTCCAAATATTTTATTCATCAAACAATACATTACAGTACAATACAATACGATACGATACGATACATTATGAAACAACAAAGTACTGATCTCCGCAAGATAGGTTTGAAAAGAGAAATTTTATTCAGTAGAATATTACATGATGTACAAGACAGGTTTGAAAAGAAAAATTTTATTCTGTAGAATATTACATGAGGTCCCACTTTTCAAAGAGAGAAGAATGTGGGGCATTCCTGTGTGAACCAGCACAATTCTCTATTGTAAGCGTGAGCATCGGTCGGTTCGGTTCGGTTATGAATATTATCGGTTTAGTATATCGGTTATCGGTTTACAAATATGATAAATCGATAACCAAACCGATAAGATATTAGTTATCGATTATCGGTTAATCGGTTATCGATCATTATCGATTCGGTTATCGGTTTACCCGATAAGATAACTCAATCTAGAGTTAAGCAAAAAAGAGAAGAGTAAAACAGTTTTAAAACTCGTTTCTGGCCACAACTAAAACAGTTTTATAAAACAACTTTATATCGGTTCTGGACAGTGTGCTAATCTTCCTGCTAGCTTTGACTTAATCTGACCCCTGCAATACAGTTGTTGTATCACATGTCTTACTAATTGTGCTAAACCAGTTTTATATCGGCAACTCATATTCAACGTAAACAACAATACATTGAACAAAGAATCTACAACAAACATAATCAAACACTACATTGAACAAAGAATCTGCAACTAATATTCAACATAATGTTGCTGCTACAACTTTCCAGTTTCCAACACTACAAACATCAACATAATGTTGTTGCTAAGCCATAAAATTTGCAACTAATAATTCAACACTACAAACAGTTGTCCAATTGAAGAGTGAAGAGTCTGAACTCTAAAGAATGCGGCTGAGGCTAAGAAATAATAGGAAAGAATGAAGCCCTAGCATATCTGCATATGTATATACTTAAGGGTAAAGTAGTAATTTCGTTAATCCTTATTGGGTTATCGGTTAACCCAATAACAGAATTGCCAAACCGAGGCCCGAACCGATAACCCAATAGTGAAAAATTTTAAACCGTTACCGAACCGTTAACCCAATAACCCAATACCGATAATTCAATAAATAATTAACGGTTCGGGTTATCGGTTTTACCCGATATATGCCCAGCCCTACTCTCTTGTGTCTTCTCTTTTTTGAAACTATCTTCTTCCTTTTTTTTTTTTTTTTAATCTATCAGTTATATTGCTATACAAAAAACATAGATCTTATTTATTTTCTTCACAAAATTTTTCTCAGTTGATGTTTACAAGTAATCTGAATTTTGATATTCACCAGCTTGATCAAATAATAGCTTACTTTGATTAAGGATTAATTGTTGTTAGAAATCATTGACATAAAATTGGTCTAAAATTGAATCTGATGAGTGATGGATATATATTTTTTGTTTATAAGAGATGAAATAGCACATGAAAGAGGGGTTTGACGGAGAACTTTATTGGTATTTTGTGCTTTCAAATTGTTTTACTTTGTATGTGGGCCATTTTAATTTAAAAAGGTAAGAAGGGAGATCTCGATACAATTTTGACCAGTATGATTTTGTGGAAAATTTGGATATCTAAGGTTCATCAAATTTAAACAAAATGAAGGCTTTCTATAATATTCATAATTGGAAGTTGGAACATCTATTTGCGCTGTACATATTTACAGATAATTTTAGAGTTGAAATGTAATTGTATTTAAACTTGGTTGAGTCAAAAGTGCGAGTAAAAATAACATTTTGGAAAAACTAAATCTTCAGAACAAAAAAGGTGGGTCTAAAAAATAATCATATTAAAAGAGAACCGAATTATGTATGGAATAAGTTTCCTTTTAGACATATTTTATTTATTTATTTATTTATTTATTTTGACAAAAAAAGATAATATTATTTTAAAGATTGCTCCTGGAAAATATGTGCAGGCAAAAAGTCTGACTTTACTTTTTCAATTAACATCTCCAGAGGTCTCTTTAATACCAAATTGTTTAATTTCCTTTTCCTCTTTTTGCTTTCTACGAACAATTTTTTTTGATAATATTCTTTTTGGTCATTTTTCCTTCATTCTTTTCATTCAGCTTATATTTAAGAGAAATTTTCATAAAGCACTATCTTTTAGTGGTAATTAGTTATCTATAGATACCATGTATTTGATGTATTTAGACTACTGTGAATACAATAGGAAAAATAGGAGTGAATTATGGAAGTCCAGCTAATAAGTTGTTGTATTCAACTGTATTCAAGAGTTGTATCATTGAATACAGTAACGTATATTCCTTAAAAAAGGGACCTTTTAACTGATTTAAAACGGAAAGGAGATCAATCTAGCAAATAGTCTCCTAATATAACTCAACTAACACAATTATATCACCCATAATCTGTATTTCTCCCTTCATTAAAGATTTTCCATCCGAAAGTATTAAAAAACAGAGCAAATCGTGGATTCTCAATTCTCCCTTCTTTCTTTTCAGTTCCTTTGTTACAGTTCGTACAAAACAAATTTCAACCAAGAAAACTCGAGATTGATACAATTATATACAGAAATACGTTGAAATTCGATTTTGCATATGACTACATCAATGTACCTCTAAATCACATGAATTTTGTTCCATGGAGTTATTTTCTCCGTTAAATTTAGTTATGGATTTAAATTTACTTATGTCTGTGCAGATTCCTAAGGAAGTTGAACATTGAGACGGTCTCCATTGAGCTCAAGAACGGCACCGTTGTTCATGGAAGTATTACAGGTATCTCTTTTTTCCCTACCTCTCAGTCTCTCCATTGTGCGTTTTTTATTGATTATAATAATACATGTATTGTTGTGGAGCATTAGGCTAGTACAGAAGAATTGAATGTAAAATCAAATTGTATGTATATGTATTTAGCTGTATTTGTGAAAGGTTACTTGACCTTCATTGTTGTTCTTTTTTTATTTTTTATGTATTAATAATACATGTATTCTTGTGGAATACAATGGCTCTAACTGTTTTCTATTAAATGTATTTGTTGTATTAAAATGTATGCTTATAAGTATAGGTGTATTCAGACATGTTTAAATGTATAACAGTGTATATATTTGTGTTGTATACTACTCTCTCTCTCTCTCTCTCTCTCTCTCTATATATATATGTAATAAAATATTCAAATGTAGGTGGTGCCATCGACTGAATATTTGTATACGGTGAACGATGAAGGAAGGCATTACACAGTATGCCTCTTAGAGAGAAAATGCAGTTGTGGGCAGTTCCAAGTCTACGAATTACCGTGCCCACACACTTGGGCTGTCCTGAAG